GCGCACCACGTTTAAGGTTTTTTTTGCTTTTTGAAAACGTGGTTTTTTAGATTAATTTTTTAATCTACTACATTTTTATCTGCAAGAACTTCCAGAAAAATGTACAAACACTTTTATAAAATCATATTAAATTTTTAATTTGTATTCTTTCCTTTCGCGTAGCACACTTAAACGTGCACAATCGTCGTAGATTTTTTCCGAGTAGTTCGACAACTTTTTCGATCGTGGATGAAACCATGTACTCGAGATCAACGACTGCGATGAAATTTCCTTCGCTTTTTATTTAAAAAGTTGAATCACCTATGTTCTTCCTTTCAAAGAGCTATAACATCTCTAAACATTTTTTCGAATTTCTGGAATACTGTTTACTGTTTCGGAAAGTGGTTTTGTCTTTAAATGAGCCACATTCCCTTTCGAAACACTATTTTGTGCGCACCGAGTCTTTTATGTCCTAACAAAAAATAGGGTATCAAAAAAGTGCGAGGGTTAATTAACGTTACTCGCGTGAATGTGGTATTATTCACGTCGTCGTCTTACAAATTTCTCAACTTTCTCCATCCAAAATTTGAAGTATCACATTGATTTAACATTATTTACCGATTTGGAGACTTTTTCCTTAAAATCTTGGGATTGCAACTTCTTAAACTTTGAATGTCGCTTGAAATCATTCAAGATCCAGGACAATTTCTGATTTGCGTAATTTTTCAATTATTTTCAGGTGAAAACAAATTTGAAAAATTTATTTAGAGGTTTAAAAAATAATCAAGGAAATTATCCGGAGTAATCTGCTTTTGGCGCGGAGAAATCAAACACCTCTTGGAAGCACAGTTTCGTCGTTGGCGAAATATTCTGCGCGCTGGATTTTCTGCTTTATCGAAGTCCCTATTGTGTTGTCTCATTTTGGTCAGCGTGAAATAATAATTTGGATGTATTGTACAATACGTTTCGGTCAACTTACGTCCAAGGGAGAAAATGGCACTCGAAGCGCCCAAAACTATCGCCATGGACGTAGAATCCGCGCCCATGTCAGTTAGAAATTGGCCGAAGAGAAACCCGAAAGTCGCATTCATTGAAGTAGAAGTAGCCTTGATAGAAATAAATAAAATCACGCAGAATAGAATTTCAGGATGAACCTAGCTTGAGCACAGTTCAAATCTGTTGACGAGGAAAAAATGCTTACCACTGCCACGGTTGCAGCTGCGAGAACGACCCAAGCCCAACCGGAATCCAGGCCAAGATTTTCCTGCGTGTCCTCGTCAAAACTGAGTTCGATGCTGATGGAATTATTTGGTGAGTTTTCATTATTTCGCAAGGGCTTCATTCTAACGTAGGACTTCTACGGAACGTGGTTCCAGTAGTCTACTGAAAAAACTGTAAAATAGAGATATTCATGAGTAATTTTTCTTCAAAATCGCCGAACGGCGCCACTCGGGAAAGGAAAGGTCACTGATTTAAAAAAAAACGTGAAAATTAAAAATTATTCCGAAGTTCAAAAATGCATCCACAATGACCGTTATTTGATTAAAAAGATTTTCTGCCAAAAATGGACTCGCAAAAATTTACAGAACAAACCCAGCACAGAGTTAATCCTGTGAAAAACCGATCCCATGATTCAAAAACCTTGTCTTTCAGCAGTACTTCAACTTATTTTCCGAGCAGTTCAAACCTAACCAATGGATTATTTATTTATAAACGGGATACCAGCCAATAATCAAAAGAAAAGTAGCATGATATATTCAATATTTTGACAGATCCAATTTTTTTCTGGCTGAAAATCATCAATGCTGCTAGGTCTACAAAAATATATTTAAAAAAATCGAAATTCGAACTACATACGGGATGTCCAAAATTTTTTGACTTTTTGTAATTTTTTACAGGGTAAAGAAAAAGTAAACAAATATTCGAACGCTGACGACGTTTTTATTTTCTACAGCTTCCAATAGCTTGAAAAAGATAAAATTAAAATTTTTCAATTAAATCTTACTTTAATATTGGATAAGTCGTCCACCATAGCACCCTTATTTCCAAATACTTGGTGAATTATTCTCCCCTGCTCGTTGCTGAATAGCATGAGTTGATTGACTATTGTAATTTCTTTGCTTGGTAATATGAGGAAATGGCTGCAAGCATTTTTAGAACATGATAGAAAACGCAGGAAACATCTAAAACGGAGCCTATACGCTTTTGAAATTCAGGAAATTTCGAAAATATGAATGGAAGCATATAATTCTTATTGTGTCCGATTTTTATAGATTATATTTTGAAAATATCTTCGATGAATTTTTCGGTAGGCACATGACTGCAGCTATGCTCGTATATTGCATAAACATAGCAAAAGGAATTTAATAATTTCTACTATTTCTTTTTATGGTAGATTGGTAGTGGTACCTTTTTTGGAGGTAAAAATGATTGAAAACTGGTCTAATTTTTCCTGGTCAACCCTTAACATTTTTTCATATATTATTGCAAATGTCATTACTTTTGTTTGCTTCCCTGGCAAGGTAAAAAAAAGAGGAAATAAGGGCGTATATTTCGATGCCACTTTGCTTGTTTGGGTTGAAGCCAGAAAAAAAAGAAGTGAAATTCAATTATGTCAGGTAAATGCAGGTGTCACCAAGAAGATAACCTTGGATTTGATAGGCATTTATGGGAGGAAAATTTGAGAAGTCCCGTGAGGAAAAATTTGAATTTAATTGTGCTTCCCATAAATGCCTCATCTGAGACAAAACCAGAAAGGCGCTTTTATTCCTGGAAATTGCCGAGAAAAAAAAAAAAGAAAAAAAAAACTGATGAACCGCGGTCTCGAAATCCAAAAAAAATAAGCATTTAGATTTCACGAAGCTAAAATTCACTTCTGCCGTGCGAATATGCGTGAACATCTGGACATGTTCTCTGCTGCTGCTCCAATCCAAAAAGGCGGTCGGAAAATTCTCACTAATTTCGATCGTACAGGGAAAATTTTTTTTTGAAGAAGTTCAAGCATTTCGAACAGGAGTCGAACCCATGTTGAAGAAGAAAAAAAATGTAGATGAAAAGAAACACGACGAAAAGCCGGCTGCGAGGGTCGGAGTCAATATCAGGCCTCACGAAGTCGGTCCCTTTTATAGACCACGGGCTGTGGAAGAATTCGGTGAAACCGCGCGAACCTGCGAGCGTGTCCAGCTTTGAATCATTGGAAAGGGGAACAAACTACGGCGAAGGTGAACCGGCAGCAAACTCATCACCAGGGTGATGATGATGAACAGCACAGCTTCGAACAAAGGGATGAAAATACAAATCAGAAAACTCAATCTCGCGCCTTAAAAGACCTTTTCCGTTCAGGTTCAAACGCTGCTTGACAACCGACGAATAGATTATATTCAACCGAGTTTACAACACTATCAAGATAACTCAGTACTGTACACTCATGAGAGATTTCTCGTTCGTAATACGAGAAATCTGTGATAAAGTTGGAAGTACTTTATTGAAAGCTGCTAGAGAAAACACCTTGAACGCGTGCACGCGAAGTAACGTATGTCTCGGGGGTTTTTTTTTATCGCTGATTACTCAAGACGTTTGAATCGCAGTTTTTAAAATATCTTATTTGATTTTTTTAATTGATCCAGCTGGTTAAAGAAGAAAAATTCCCTAATTTCTTCAAGCTTATGCTCTGATTAATCAAAAAGCGAATTTAATGCCTCGTAACTATCCTAAAATCTCTGAAAATCCAGCCATAAAATTTAAAATCCGTCCTCGTTAAAACGTTTCCATTTTTGCTTTCTCGCTCTTCTATTCGACTTTTTCTTCCAAAATTTGAAACCAAAGATGCCATATGTTCAAAAATGTTTTTGCATTGCCTTCCATGGTAATGGAATTCGCGCTCGAGCATGGATGAGTAATTAATGAGTTTTGCAGCACAATGTCAGCCATCATCACTACAACAAATTTTATAATGTAGCAAATAAAAGAATTCGGTTGTCGCGCTTTATGGAATGTTTCAACGCGTCTGATTCATTCAGTTGCGATGGCATTGTGAGCTTTATTTGCAAATAAATGCTTACTCATGAATCATGGAGTACAAAGATATTTTTTCTCGTAAGAAAGAAGTCCTCGAGATTTTCGTGAAAGCAGTAGTTTATTTAAGATGACTCTTCGACTTCTCTGTATCAAAGGATAAAAGAGGCATGGGGGTTGTTAATTGATTGGAATTAGGACGAAATCCAAATGCCCGTCGATCAATTTGTAGTACTTGAGGATAGAAAGAGAATTGATCTGACGAACGAAGCAATTCACGAAAAATACGTAAGATAATAATTGAATGCCACTACCAAACCTGCCAATAAGAGCAGTGGTTCTCAGCATAACATAAACATTTTCAGAGCAATTCATTGAAGAACCTTGTTGTGTATATTTACACTTCTTTATACTTAAGATTCGGTGTCTCCTTTATAGTGGCAGAAGTAAAACACAGAGTTCCAGCAGTACTTTATATTTTATTGACTTTCATCAATAATCACACAAGACAA